AACAAAGAAATGTGGTTGTTGGTGAAGATATTCATATGAGGATTTATTTCTTAAAAGGGGAATGATTCGGTTAATAATATGGACAACTTAATGAATTGAAAATTCTAAAAAATCGTAAATATGTAGGATTGAAAAGAGATGACTCAACCAATATTGAGAATATGTTAATGATTCCTCTCAACTATAATTTTGTTGAGGGGTCTCAACACAAGACCTTTAATGAAGGATGCCTTTAGGAGGATAAAATGAATGTATGATAAACTCAACTTCATTACCCCTTCTCAAGCATTTAAGTTTCTTATGAAATTGAGTATCACTACAACAAATAAAAAACCATGAGATTGTTTTTGGATTCGCCTTTACTTTTCATTAAAGTTGCCCATGTAAATCTACTAAAGTCATCAATCAAGGTTAAAAAATATTTAAAACAACAAACAAAAATGGTGGCATAAGGTCCTAGAATATCAACATGTAGTAAATCAAATAGTTGAGTGGAATGAGTAAGACTATGAGGAAATTATGTTTTCTTTAATGTTTGTCATAATAACATATTTTATAAATAGGAGGAGTACTAGTGTATTTTACAATATGGAAGTGAATGGAAATACATTTGTATATGAAATTAGAAATATAACACAAACTATAATGCCAAATATTAGTGGAATCATTTGATTTAGATTACAAATTTGAAAAGACAAAATTACTAATTGAAGTAGAAACTAAACCAATATCTTAAGGTGTATATAATCGTCAAGAATCCAACATATACATTCCTCTAAACTTCATATTTGTAAAAATCACTCTCTGATCTCCACAATGGAACATATATCAAGATAAAATGAGAAATTTGTATTAGAAGTTTTTTAGAATTGAGATACTGAAAATAAACCAATGTTGAAACTAGAAATATAGTAAAACCTATGAAGAATGAGTGAAGGATGTTGTTCATTCTATGGTGGTCACTATTTTATTACCATTTGAGAGTTACATGAAGATAGGGGGAATGTTATAAATGAATAACTTTTTGTAAACATTGACTGATATTGTCGATTTCTCCTGAGTCAGCGAAACAAAAAATATATTTTCTACAACTAATTGAAAAATATGTGACTGGAGGGTTGCAAGACTCATAATCAAAGACCTTTAAAGAATTAATCAAAAGCAAAGATTGTCAAAGATGATTGATGGCGGTAAATGATGAGATGAATTCACTGATGAAGAATCATACTTAGGAGCTTGTGAAACTACCTAAGAAACAAATGGTCGTTAGATGCAAGTGGATCTTCAAGAAGAAGGAAGGTATTCCAAGAATTGAAGAACCAAGGTTTAAGGCAAGACTTGTAACAAAGAGTTTTACTCTTGTTGAAAGGATTAATTACAATAAAAAATTTCACATGTAGTAAAACATTGTTCTATAAGGGTACTTATAGAAACTGTAAATCAGTATAACCTTGAGTTTCAGCATATGGAAGTCAATATGACTTCTTAAATGGATACTTTAAGAGAGAACCTACATGGAACAACCTGAAGGTTTTTTAGAAGATGAGGCTAAGGTAAGTTTGTTAGATAAATCTTTGTGTGGGTAAAATTAAAGCCTAAGGTAGTGGTATCATCAGTTTAATGAATTTATTCTTAAATATGATTTTGTAAGAAGTAACTATGACAGTTGTGTATACATATTGAAGAGGAATGAGAAAATCATTATCTACCGTATTCCATAGATTGATGATATTTTGATGATAAGATTTAGAAAAAATGTGATAATTAAGCTAAAGGAGATCTTGAATGGTGAATTTGAGATGAAATATCTTGGTTAAGGTAAAATGATTGTGGCTATAAATATCATGAGAAACTGCAAGAAGACTTAAATGTTCTTAACTCAATCTAGTACCTTGAAGAAAATGGTGGAGCAATTTAGAATGAAAGATGCTAAACCCATAAAAACTATTTTGGATAATCACATGAAGCTTTCGGTTAAACAATGACCTCAAACTGGGGAAGAGAAGAAGATAACAAAATGTATTCCCTATGCAAGTGGGGTTGGAAGCATTATGTATGATATGATTTGTAGTAGACCGTACTTACCGTATGCAATCAGCATAGTAAGTAGGTTTATGAAAAATCTTGGTTAGGTTCATTGGGAAGCTTTAAGCTGAGTGTTAAGGTATTTGAATGGTTCTCCAAAGGGAGGTTTAAAGTACACAGGGTCAACTCAAGAGGGAGAAGCTTTAGAGGGTTTTGTAGATTCAGACTATGCATGTAATGTGGACACTAGAAAATCCATATGAAGTTTTGTGTTTATGTTGTTTGGGACAACTATAAGCTCGAAGTAAAATCAACAATCAGTAGTCACATTATCAACTACTCAAGCGAAATATATTTCCCTTGTTGAAGGGATCAAGGAATCCATATGATTGTAAGGCATGATTAGGGAGTTACGAATTACTCAAGAACGTGTGAAGATAAATTATGATAGTCAAAGTGGAATTCACTTGGCCAATCATCTAGTTTATCATAGGGTTTCGGTAGTTATAAATATGATTTTCTCTCATTTGTTGCAATGTAAGTTGTAGAAGTTGTATAAGGTGGAAATCCTAGTGAGAAGCAAAAGGTAAATTTCTTTAGAATTATATTCTAGGAATTTGGAAGCCATTTGGGTTTATCAAAGGGATTAGTAAACACTTTAAACACCTTGGTTTTGTGTGATTCGTATATTAAGAATTGGAGAGATTGAGAAACACTTGAAATATAAAGTAAGGTTTATTCTTGAAACTCCAAAGATTGTTGTCTTGTAATTCACATTATAGTTTCTTGTAACAATTTTTGCAGTATAGTGAATTGGGGAGTTGCTATCTTCCCCAAATGTAGATCGATTTGATCAAACAAGGTAAACAAATCTCCCGTGTTCTTTCCTATTAGTATTTTTATTGCTGAAGGCTATTGGTCTGGTTGCCACTTTTCTTTGTCTCACACATCAAATTTCTTGGCGTGATTGAACTCTGAATAATTATTATGAAGTTGTTTTAATTATTCTATCAATTTCATAATACATCTGGTATGTATCCCAGATAGGAAGTGATAATCCCCAAAGAAGTTTGAAGCCATCAAGAACATGGTCTTAGGCCTACTCCATGCCAACTTTATTTCGAAAGTAATATACACCAAATGGTTATCCAATGTTGTCTTAGTTAAAAAGGCGCTCGACAAATGGACGATGTGCGTAAACTACACCAACCTCAACCAGGCTTTTCCTAAAGACTCATATCCGTTTCCAAACATAGATAAGCTGGTAGACGATTTTTATGGATGTGTGCTCCAAGCATTACAAAATCCCTAATCACAAGGCAAACGGGGACAAAATCACCTCTATGACCGAATGCGTTAATTACAAGTACAATGTGATACCCTTCGATTTGAAGAACGCGGGTGCAATGATGAACAAGATTTTTGAGGAAGAGATCAAAGAAGCATTTGAGGTATACATGGATGACATGATTGTAAAGTCTAGCAAAAAAAAAAGAAGCATGACGAACACCGTCCATCATATTTAGACGGGTCCGACAGTATAACATGAGGCTTAACTCTGAGAAATGCATATTCAGGGTTAGGGTCGACAAGTTTTTGGGTTTTTACTTAACAAAAAGATGCATAAAGGCTAACTTAGATAAGTGAAAAGTCGTGATCAAAATGGAGGCTTCAACAACGAAAAAATGGATAATGAAATTGAACGAGATGCTCACATCCCTAAATAGATTCTTGTCGAGACCAACTCAACACGCTTTACTGTTCTATATGTTACTAGCCTCAAGAAGAATATTCTATTCCGTTGAAAACCCAATTAACTCCACATTCAAAGAGCTGGCAGGGTCGTAGACACGCTACCAGAAGATATAAAAGATTTGAGTAGCATCAATAACGAACTCAAGAAAGTTATGATGTTACTTTCTAATACATACCATAGTAATCCGGGCCGACTTACCCCTTAAGCAAGTTCTTCGCAAACCACATCTTACAGAGCGGATGATAAAATGGCTCGCAGAGATCTTTGAATTCGACATCTCCTTTAAACAAAGGAAGGCGCTGAAGGCTCAAGTGTTTGTAGACTCTCTGATATAAATGGCGGTGATCACTCTAGAGCCAATTGCAACATGAATTATGATCACAAATGGATCGTCTAACACGAAGAGGAGTGACGCCAACCTCATATTAAAGAGTTAGATCATATTAATCGTCGAAGTATCTTTACGTTTCAAGTTCACCAATACCAACAAAGTAAAATCTATTTTGTCATTATCTGTTTTGATTTGAATTTTCACATTGTATTTTGCCCAAATTGTAAAAACCAGCGACAAGGGATATGAAAAGGAAACTATTTTATATCAATAAAGAACTCACTTTGATTTTCATATAGTATTGTTGAATGGTCCTTACAATATCACGTCATTCTTACTTGCACATTTTGGTCTAATAATACTCTTTAATAGTCCACACTTTTATACTATCCTATTTTGATTAAAGATATTTAAATCAAATCTATGCAGCCCACTTTGTGATATCAACTTTTTCCAATTTTGAGAAGAAAAAGAAAACTGTTCAATCTGCTATAAAATTCCGTTCGATATTATTATTGAAAAATACTCCAAACATGATTACTCTTTTCTTTTTTATTTTTTTTATTTTGCCTTCTAAAATTAACAACTATTTTTTTCTGTCTTTTTATAAGATTTTACCTTTCTAGATTCATAAGATAATTAATGTATATAGTCTGTAATACAAATTAGATATATTAATTATCCTATAAATTTAAAAATGTAAAATATCTCTTATAAAAAAGATTGGAGGAAATATAAAAGATTCAGAATAAAATAAAGAAAAATCAGAATGAAAATATCTAAGAAGAAATGGAATTTATTCAAATTTGCAATAGTAGAACTAAAAATATATTCCTTCCTCCTATTACATTTTACATGTCCTTGAATAATAGTCCAATGTTTGATGTCTTAATGCATGATGTAAGTGAGAACCAAGGCCAACAACATTAGAACATATGCTATTGCTTGGTCAATTGATGTGCCTGCAAATTTCATGAATTTTTTTTAACTATTAGCCATGAATTATGCAACCAAACAACAACATTGACACAATTATTATTATTATTATTATTATTATTATTATTATTATTAATATTAATTGATAACTAAGATTGTTTAAAAAGTAGACAAACAAATCCAAAATATTCTATAGATCTATAAAGAAAAAGAAATACAAAATCAAAGAAGAGGAGACATATGTTTCAAATTGTGCCGACACATTACAATAAAATCGGTGCAATGTTAACGACAATAAAATTGAAATCACTACGACGCGAAATGCAATATATTTTTAAATTCTTGATATAACAATGTTAGAAATAAAATTTTCAAGAAAACTTACCATCACTCGTGGGAGCTGGAGCTGGAGCAATAGATTGCGAGCAAACCATTGATATTAAAGATGCATAGATAAGACTAAGAAACACCACCGCCCTAATTGAAATTGTCAT